GAAGCTTCTTCAACACAAGTCTTCAAGCTTCTTGGATGATCCACGTGAACATTCAGCAAAAACATTCTATTCTTCTCCATAGGCACCTTCGCAACCAAGTTGTGTGAACCATCCCTCAAAGTAAGACAACCATCCTTCAAATGAATGTCATACCCCATCTCAAGTAATTGTCCCAAGCTCAAAATGTTAGATTTCAAAGTAGGCACATAATAAACTTGAGTAATTAAAAGGTGACTTCCATTTTTTGAACGGATGAGAACATCACCTTTGCCTTTGATTAGGATTTTGGTATCATCTCCAAATATAATGTTGCCTTTCACTGCCTCATTAAGAGTTGAGAACAACTCTTTGTTGCCACTCATGTGATTAGCGGCACCCGTGTCAAGGTACCATGCTCGGGTATCTCTTTCTTCTTTAGTTGCCATCAATAGCAACAATTCTTCTTCTTCTTTTGCTTCAACATAATTAGCCCTCTCCTCATTGTTGGTGGAGGAACTTCTACATTCGTTGGCATAATGGCCATATTTGTGACAAGCATAACATTGTATATTGAACTTGTCATACCTTCTTCCGCTTCCTCTCTTTGAACCATAATATCAACGTCCTCGTGGTTGATTGCTCGACCCTTCATTGTTAAAATTTTGGCCGCCTTCATTTCTTCCTCTTCCTCTGCCACGGCCAAAATTTCCTCCTCGACCACGACCACGACCTCGGCCTCGACCTCGACTTTGACCTCTTCCTTGAGATCGTCCATGCTTTTGCTCTTGTTCTCCCAAAGAGACCTTAGTTTGGAGAACTTGGGCCACCGGTTCTTGCTTCTTTTTAAGTCTTTCTTCATATGCTTGCAAGGACCCCACGAGTTGATCGAGGGTCATGGAATCCAGGTCATTTGATTCTTCAATGGCAACACTCACAAACTCAAGTTTTGAGTCAAGTGACCTGAGAATCTTCTCCACAACACGTACATCTTCAATCTTCTCTCCATAACGCTTCATTTGATTGACAATGGAAGACACTCTAGTGAAATAGTCGAAAACAGATTCAGACTCCTTCATATGTAGAGATTCAAACTCACTACGAAGAGTCTGAAGGCGAACCTTCTTCACTCTGTCAATTCCTTTGAAATTATTCTCAAGAATCCCCTAGGCTTCCTTAGCCTTTGTAGCAGTAGCAACTTTCTCAAATAGAGCTTCATCCAAGCCCATGTGTATGATAGAGAGGGCATGTTGATCTTGCTTTCGAAGCTTCTGCAAAGCATTCTTCTGATTTTGATTCAAGACTCCTTCATTCTCTGGTTCGTCATAGCCTTTCTCAACAACCTCCCATGCTTCCTGTGAGCCAAGCAATGCCTTCATGCGGATACAACAATGTCCATAATTCTCCTTTGTAAGTTTGGGAACTACAAAGGGAAAAGTGCTATTCATCTCTGGAAAGTCAGCTCTGATACCACTTTGTTGGAAATAAAGATTTGGGAGGAAAGACCGGAGAGGAACACAGGAAGAAACTTTCCAGAAATGCTTCTTTATTCTTGGCTTAGATGTATCAATACTCAAGTACAAGCACAAGCCATTTTATAGGCACAAAAGACTCCAAACCCAAAACAGTTA